TAAACTTTGTTTTGCAATTGTGTTGGTATTATTATAAGCTCTTTTCTGTTCTATGTTTAATCTTTCTAAGTATCCATTAAAATAGGTATAATTACACATATTTTGACAAGTAATATTAGTTCTCAGAAAGATTGAATTACCCTTGGGATCATATGAGGAAAAAAATGATAAAGCTAATTTTTAAATCATAATGGTTAAGTTTCTTCCATAATACTGCTTTATTTCTCACACATGTTTGACTCTCTAATGTTTAGAACAGTACTGGATACAAGAGAGGCTTCTCACTAAAAACTGTATGATTGGTATAAGGAGGTATAATATAACATCACATGACAACATGACATAACAGAATATAAATTCAAAGGGAAAGCAGGCAAATAGAATTTTCCTTTCAGAAGCTGTTATAAGGATGGGTTTAGAACCAAGTTTTTTCTTTGACCAAAATAAATAAAGAAACAAATTTAAAAAAATAGACAAAGCATGACTAAAAGCTGAAATCAAAACAATTATATTCTATTAGCTGTTTGAAGCTGACGTTATGATAAAGCAAGAAGATTTTAGGCTAATAACAAAGATATATGCATGACATATGTATGTGAATGAGTGTGTTTATGTGTATGTTTATGTGTAAATGTAGGATATTTTTATAAAAAGATGCATTATGTGATTTTAACCTGCTTCTACCAGGGCATTAGTCATTTTTACTTGTATAAGGTAGAATGCTTAAAATTAAAGTGGCACTTTTTAAAACTGTGTGTAAGAACTTGGCTTCTGGTTGGGCTTTGAAGAGAAAAATGAACACACACACATAAAACACTCAACATTCTTATATTATTTTGATATACAATGTTTTATATATATTAAGTACCTTACTTATAGAAATTCAAGTACTCGGATCTAGGAAACATGTTCTGGTTTCAGCACTGCAATGAGCATCAGATGTTCTTTAATTATTTTTTCTAAAAGTTTCCCACCTTTCTTCCTTCCACCTCCCTTCCTTCCTTCCACTCTCTCTCCATTCTTTTCTTCTGTTTAGCTTTCCACCTGTATCACTGTCTTATTCTGCCATTCCTGCTGCCTCTGCTGCTTTTTTACTTTATCCAACACATGTTTAAGCTGCTATGTATTGAGCTGGAACATTGGCTTGATAAACTATAATTTCTTACCAATTAGTATTTTCTTATCAAATCAGCATGGGACTTTATTTTATAATGTTTACAATTTACTTATGCATGTATTTGTTTTCAACTGAATACTATTAAAGCTCAAAAACAAATGCTGACTAACTTTTAGGCAATATGCAGTGTGCTTTTGCTCTGTCTTATACAATTAATCCTCATAGCAACATTTAATATAGCATCTGTATTATAAATTTATTTAAAAGAAAGCTGGGAATTATTGAAATCTAACTTGCCTCAGTCGTTTTATTAAGTCACTCATTTATAAAAGAAATTATCCTAGTACATAAAATATTTTCAGAAAAAAAATCTCACTAGAGAAAGAGGCATGTGATCTCAAATACATGCAGATTAGTTAATAGGGCAGAAATATAAGAAATACTTTCTGGAAGATGCAGTATCTCAGATTAATTTTTCAGGACTAAATAGAAATTCACTGGGTATTTAAGAGAAAGGGAGGAGCAAGTGATGGCAGAGGGCTTGTCTTGAGCAAAGGTATAAACAGAGAATAACAATGCATAAGGCTAGGGCTCCCAGCACCTTCAGAATTATTGCAACAAAATACAGAGCATAGGGATGTCATTTATATTAATGATGAACTTAGAGAACTATACACATCAGTTTTGTAAACGTGTTGTGCCTCATAATAAAGAAGCAAAAGAAATAAGTTAATTTTGTTGCTTATGGGAAAATATGTAAAAGGGTACAATGTAGTCTTGTTGACATTTTAGAAACTTACTACGAAAAGTGTAGGATTAATGTATTAAAGGAGAAATATGAGAGACAGAGTTTTCAGATAAGAAATTACTAGTTTGTTTAAGGTGGAGAACAATGTTAAGAGTTAATAACAGTAGCTTTCAGTTGAGACCTGGGTTCGATCCCTGGGTTGGGAAGATCCCCTGGAGAAGGAAATGGAAACCCACTCCAGTACTCTTGCCTGGAAAATTCCATGGATGGAGGAGCCCAGCAGGCTACAGTCCGTGGAGTCACCAAAATCAGACACGACTAAGTGACTTCACTTTCACTTTTTAAACAGCATTTATATCTGTCTTATGCGTGCTCAGTAATGTACGACTCTCTGTGACCTCATGGATTGTAGCCCATCAGGCTCCCTCGTCCAACGGATTCTTCAGGCAAGAAAACTGGAGTGGGTTGCCCTGCCCTTATCCAGGGGATCTTCCCGACCCAGGGATCGAACCAACTCTCTTTAGTCTCCTGCATTTTCAAGCAGATTCCTTACCATTTGTGCCAACTGGGAAGCCTATGTATAGATATATCTATATGTATACATATAGCCTTGCCAGGCTCCTCTGTCTGTGAAATTTTCCAGGAAAGAATACTGAAGTACGTTGCCATTTCCCTCTCCAGGGAATCTTCCTGACCCAGGGATGGAACCTGGGTGTCCTACATTGCAAGATGCTTCTTTTATAGTGTGAGGCATTTTTTTTTCAGTCATTTCCCATTAGAACCTTATGGACAGTAGATACTGATATCCTCATTGCACAAAGGGGGAAGTAAGCACAGACAGATCACAGCCAAAGACAAATTACTGGTTAAAATGGAGCCATCTGTTGGACTCAACAGTCTAGCTCCTGACTTTGCTTTTCACAACTACATTACCAACAGTAAAATAAACTGGCATTACATTTACGATAGCCTCATCAATACTAGGGTTTCCCAGGTGTCAAAGTGGTAAAGAATCCACCTGTAATACAGGAGTCACAAGAGAGGTGGGTTTGATCCCTCCATTAGGAAGATCCCCTGGAGAAGGAAATGGAAACTCACTCCAGTATTCTTGCCTGGAAAATTCCATGGATAGAAGAGCCTGATAGGCTACAGTCCATGGGGTCACAAAATGTCAGACATGACAGAGCACATAGTCCATCAATAATATTTTTTAATAAAATACATGAAAAAGTTGTATGGGTTGGAAAGAGTTAAATTAACTCTTATGCTTAAGACATATATTTGAATTTCCTGTGAAGCAGCTGGCTAGATATGTCTTTGTATCAGTTGAACACATGTTCAGAAAAGGTATCTGGATTGAGAGTGAAAATTTAAAAGTTAATTGGAGATTTTAGAATATTCAGATTGCTCAGAAGTTTTCCATGAACCATAACATAAGAGAAAAAGCATAAATGTAAGCCAAAGAGTAACATAGAAATACTCTAAGTTTCTAAGGAAGAAAATAAATGTAGAGAAGCCCTTTGAAATGGAGAAAAAAAATGAAAGTCACTGCTCACAAAAATGTATAGAGTTAATTTGTTTTTCTATGTAGTATGTGGACCACTTCAGTTCAGTTCAGTTCAGTTGTTCAGCAGTGTCCAACTCTTTGCAACCTCATGAATCACAGCACACCAGGCCTCCCTGTCACCACCAACTCCTAGAATCTACCCAAACCCATGTCCATCGAGTTGGTGATGCCATCCAACCATCTCATCCTCTGTGGTCCCCTTCTCCTCCTGCTCCCAATCCTTTCCAGCATTAGGGTCTTTTCCAATGAGTCAACTCTTTCCATGTGGTGGCCAAAGTATTGTAGTTTCACCTTCAACATCAGTCCTTCCAATGAATACCCAGGACTGATCTCCTTTAGGATGGACTGGTTGGATCTCCTTGAAGTCCAAGGGACTCTCAAGAGTCTTCTCCAACACCACAGTTCAAAAGCATCAGTTCTTTGGTGCTCAACTTTCTTCACCCTCCAACTCTCACATCCATACATGACTACAGGAAAAACCATAGCCTTGACTAGACAGACCTTTGTTGACAAAGTAATGTCTCTGCTTTTAAATATGCTACCTAGGTTGGGCCATTTAGAGGGAATCAAATAGGTGAATGTATAAAACAAAATAGCCTGATACCCATCTCAGATATTAATCAATTTCTAGTAGCGAAGATCAAATTATTTCCACAAACTACAGTGACATTTCCTTTTTGAATGACTGAAAGGAAAGAATTAGGGAAGATATCCCTAATGAGATACATTTTAATGAACTACAATTTGATAAGTTTTAAATAACATGTAAAATCATGTGATTAGTACATCAGCCATGATACGGAACATTTTGATCTTCCAAAAAGTCGTTTCCTGCCTATTTGTACTCAGTCTCTTTATACTCCCTTTTCATCTCTGAAATCTCTGATCAACTATTACTGATTTTGGCTTTTCCAAAATTTCATACAAATGAGATCATACAGTATGTGGTGTTTTGTATTTGCCTTCTTTCACAGAGCACAAATGACCCATTCAAGCTATTGCCTCTATCAGGAATTATTTCCTTTTCAAATTAAAGCTTATGAATCTTTGTAATTTGTTCATCCATTCAACACTGGGTGTATGTTTGGTTTCTTTCTTTCTTTTTGCTATCATGTATAAAGCTTATTTGATTATGTACAAGTCTTTGTATGGATATGTGTTTTTATTTTTCTTGGGGAAATTGCTGGGTACTGTTAAATGTTTGATAAGCATGCATGTGACTTTATGTGAAACTGCCAAGCTGATATCCAAAGAGACTCTGTACCATTTGTATCTCATCAGAATTCCAGTTGTTCCATATGCTCACCAACACAGTATTTTCAGGTATTTTTAATTCTAGCCATTCTAATGGTATCTTATTGTACTTCTCATTTACATTTTCCAAATAAATAAAGATGTTGAACATTTTTTCATGTGCTTAGTTGCCATTCATAATATCAAGGAATAATTATGAAGTTATAAATATAAACTCAATTTTGAGTTCTTCATATCTTAATTTTGTAACTCTATGTATAAGTAATCAGTTTGCTTTTAATCGGATTTCCTGACACACAATCTCTCTTTTACAGGGTGAGAAGCATCTTGGACTTCAGTCTTACCTACACCTTTCCATGTGGTCTTTTAATCACACTGCTTCTAATTGGCCCACCTTCTCCTTCATTGGTATTCCTGGTCTGGAGGCTGCCCAAATATGGATCTCCATTCCCTTCTGCCTCCTGTACTTCCTAGCCCTTGTGGGAAATGCTCTTCTGCTTATCCTAGTTAAAGCAGAACGGAATCTTCATGAACCTCAGTTCTATTTCTTGGCCGTGCTGGCCCTTACAGACCTAGGCCTTTCATTGTCTACAATGCCCAGTGTCTTGGCTATTTTCTGGTTCAATGTCCACTACATTGGCCTGGACGCCTGCTTAACCCAAATGTTCTTCATCCACGCCCTCTCCTCAGTAGAATCAGGTGTCCTGGTAGCCATGGCTTTTGACCGCTTGGTAGCTGTCTGCGCTCCACTGAACTACACCGGGCTCCTGACCCACTCTACTGTCGCCTGCCTTGGCGGAGCTGCTGTCATACGCGGTGCCACCCTGGTGGCCCCTCTGCCTTTCCTCCTCAGGACCCTTCCTTTCTGTGGGGCCAATATGCTCTCACACTCTTACTGCTACCTCCCTGATATGCTGAACTTGGCCTGTGGAGACGCCTCTTTTAGCGCTGTCTATGGATTGGTCTTTGTACTCTTCACATTTGCAGTAGATGTTGTCTTCATCTTAGCTTCATACATGAAGATCTTGGCCACTGTTATAAAGCTGGAGAATCAAGACAGAAACTGGAAATCACTGCATACCTGTGCCTGTCACCTATGCACAGTATTTGTGTTTTATCTGCCCCTCATCAGCTTGGCGGTGCTGCATCGCTACACTCAGAACATTTCCCCAATTCTGTGTACCAGCATGAGTAATGCCTACCTCCTCATGACACCACTGCTCAACCCTCTTGTCTACAGTCTCAAATCCAGGCAGATCCAGGCTGCTCTGCGCAAGCGATTTTGGGTGCAACGTGTTATTGCTGGAGAATGACATTTTTCCATATATCAGAAGAGACAGCTGATTTAAAAAGTGCTGTTCAGGATCTGCTATGTGCCACATAGTATGTTAGGCACCATGAATTCAAAAATAAAAAGACTCAGGCCTTTCCCTCCAGCTAATCTAAGTATGGAGGGAAAGTGAAGCAGGGGGCTTAAATAAATGGTCACAACTGATCATGAGTGATGACTGTTTGGTAGTGGTAAGGAGAAAGGGCGATAGAAACTCAAGTTCAGTGTTTTTGCTGTATAAGTCAGATGAAATTATGTATTCACAACTGCTAAATTGAAGTGTATGATGGTTGATTTTAAAAAATCAAAGAGGGGCTCATTTTACTGAGAAAACAAGGTTTCACCTGATTCTTAATTGCCCATGTTGTTTAAGTTGAAGCATTACAAAATTTTATATTGGTGATAAATTTATGACTATATGCATAATATTTTTGACCATTTCTTAGGGTTGGAGAACAAGTTGATATCTCAATCTGATGGTTTTTAACAAAAAAATAAAGGAGCTGTTAGAAAAGAAATAATATATAAGAATGTGCTACTTCATTCAGAATTCATACTTTATTTTCATTTTGTTTGGTGTTTCACTCCATACTGAGAATATATAGGGTTACATTTTGGCTTCTGAAACAAGGATGCAACTTCTTTCTCTACCTTTCCAAAAGGAAAAAATGAATTATTCTCCTGGGTCAACTCTTGAGATTAGTCATAAACAAATGAAAACTTGTCTTGCTGAATTAGCTTAGGAAACAAATAAAAGACTTAATTGTCAGTGGCAATGAATAAACATACAGTAGCTTTACAAGAATTTCAAACTAATTTATGGAAGTTCTAAGTAAAGTTCAAAATGATCTCTAAAGTTATCAAAATATTTTTCATATTTGTCTAGCATTTTTAGTAAGGCATCAGAGTCATACAGAAGGCAAAACTATAATATTCACATAGCTTCCATTCTATTAATGAAAATCATGGAACAGCAGCAGATCATGCACCTAAATACAATTAGTGACTTGGAGACTTGGTTTAAATTATGTAAATTAGGAGGAAAGTGAGCCAGTGAAGACTGGGTTTATTAGAAACTTCTGCCTGCAAGACTGAAAAGATCATGAAAAGAAAGACAATGGAAGCTTAACATCTATCTCAGTTTCAAAAGCATTCATCTAGCTGAAATCTGTTATATATTAACAGAATAGAGGGAGTAAAATATATATAAATGTATAATCTTTGATCTTACTGAGAGGTCATTTGAGAAATATCATGAGTACCTTCAAAACATAAAATGAAATTCTGATTCTTAGTATGTTTCTACAAGTTTTAAAATCTGATTTAATATTTTTCTTTATTAAGTCTTTCCACACAAAAGGGTTTTAATTCTGACAATCTTAAGTATGATGATAGGGAAATGGGGATCATTTCTCAGCATTGTTCCATTTTTTGAAGACTGCAGGTAAATTTCCTTTGAGGAACTCCTTACCTCTCTGTACAGCTTGAGTGAGACCAATAATAACAATATTCTAATAAATCACTCTCCTGACCTTTCAACCACAGAGATTAAAAACTGAAGAAAAAAATTCTCCCCCTTTACATAATATGCTATAAAGAGTTTAAGATTACCCTTTCTACTGGACAGTGAAAGGACACAAAACCATTTATAGAATATCTTCCCCAGTTATGTGATTATCTACATTAGGGAAAAAAAAAAAAGAGTGTAAAACAAGATAAAAACAGATATAAAGGATTGCTTCAGAAAGAAAAAAAGGACATGACATTGAGTGCTAAAGCTTGGGTCCCTAAGATTCTTTAATTTAATCTGTAACCCATTCTGGTATTTCAGTTTACTTATAAATTGATTTATGTGTCAGTTAAATAATTAAGCAATTAATGGCACGTCTGTCTTAATGTTGCCTTAAAGTATGACAATTTTATTCCTTGGTTGTCTCACTAATAATCTAAATGAGAGCATTTTGTCTCATTCATTTGTCTCCTAATGTGTGGCATATAGTGGATGCCAAGAATAGCTATGTAAAGATACAAAATAAGGGGGAACACGAGAGAGTGTAAGAAACAAAGGACAGAAGGTGATAAGTAAAAACAATTATACATGACTATGGAATCAATGGATTCATGAATTAATGTCTACATAGTTAATTAAAAGTGAAGGGAATAATAACATATGGCTCTACTCTGTGATAGTTAATTTTCAGTCATCATTAGCATCAATAAATAACTTGATGTCTGTCTTTGATTTAAGGTAACAATACTGAACAGATAAATATATGATATACACAGTTATAATACAGGCAATCTAGTCTGAATTCTTGTAAAAATTTACAAATATATACCATTTTATATTTCAACATATGAAACGTATATTAAAATGAACCTCTAAATGTGTCTTTGAACTTCAGAGCGACTGTATTATTTGCTGGTCATCTTTAATATCACCAACTGAGCAATAAAGATTTAAAGTATGACAATTTTATTCCTTGGTTGTCTCACTAATAATCTAAATGAGAGCATTTTGTCTCATTCATTTGTCCCCTAATGTGTGGCATATACTGGATGCCAAGAATAGCTATGTAAAGATACAAAATAAGGGGGAACATGAGAGAGTGTAAGAAACAAAGGACAGAAGGTGATAAGTAAAAACAATTATACATGACTATTGAATCAATGGATTCATGAATTAATGTCCACATAGTTAATTAAAAGTGAATGGAATAATAACATATGGCTCTACTCTGTGATAGTTAATTTTCAAGCATCATTAGCATCAATAAATAACTTAATGTCTGTCTTTGATTTAAGGTAACAATACTGAACAGATAAATATATGATATACACAGTTATAATACAGGCAATCTAGTCTGAATTCTCGTAAACATTTACAAATATATACCATTTTATATTTCAACATATGAAATGTATATTAAAATGAACCTCTAAATGTGTCTTTGAACTTCAGAGCGACTGTATTATTTGCTGGTCATCTTTGATATCACCATCTGAGCAATAAAGACTTTATTCTTTCATATTTATCTTTAAATCCTGGCTTGACCCTTGTCCTTATCATATTTTTAGCTTGTAATATAATGGTTAATATTTATTGAACATTTATTATATACCAGACATTGTGGTAAGCATATTAAATAAGTTATGTGTAGCATAGCACATTTCTTCTTGCAATGTTCTTAGAAAATAGATGCCAGTATCAAGTCCTTTTCACATTGAGGCACATTAATGGTCACTCACCATGTTCCCTGGATACATAGCAGATAAATTATAGAGTCCTGATTTTCCTTTAATTGATACATATTTATCCTCAAATTAATGTGAAATCCAATTTAATACAACCTGAGAAAATTAAGTATGATTACATAGATGGCAAATTTTAGGTACAGAAGCTTTGTTATATTTTTGCTTTAATCTCTTATTGTATTTTTGTATCAGATGAAGTTTATATTAATGTGGTTTCAGGAAAAATCATAAAATAGATTTCAATAAAAAATATAAAAATAAAACCTCTTATCTCCCATTTGTACTATTTCCCTTTATAATATCTCAAACCCACCAAAGATAATAACTCTCTGTATAATAATATGAATATCTTGCTTTTAACCAAATTTGAGCCATATAACTATATATGACAGATCCTCATATAGAAAATATTTGTCAAACAGTTTGGATTGGAGTGGGACTCCTGGATAAGTGATATGAACTTTAGGGAAGAGAAACATAAAGCGAAGGTGAAGGAACCTTTAGAAATATATTCCCTGATCTGATATTTAAAACTAAAAGGGAATCTCCTACTTCCAAAAAGATTGTAGTAAAATTACACAAAGTGAAAGTGTTAGTCACTCAGTTGTGTCTGACTGTGTGCGACCCCATAGACTGGAGCCTTCCAGGCTCCCCTGTCCATGGAATTCTCCAGGCAAGGATACTGGAGTGGGTTGCCATGCCCTTCTCCAAGGGATTTTCCTGACCCAGGGATTGAACCTGGGTCTCCTGCTTTGCAGGCAGATTCTTTACCATTTTGAGTCACCTAGGAAGCAAAATCACACAGAAACATACCCCAGGACTTCAACACACAAGAAATAAATGTCTATTCCTGTTTCTTTTTACAATATCCCTGGCCTTTTGATCATTTACTCAAAATACTTCTACTCTGTTCTATCTTGTCTTACATTTGAACAGTCTATCTAGTGCACTTCTAATCTGCTTTGTTTTCACACTATAAACCAATGGGTTAAGGACAGGTGTGAGAAAAAGGAAAATATTGGACAAGGTGATGTGGGGGAGAGGAGAGTGGTACCTGCCTATTCTGTGGATCAAGGCTAAGGCAATAAGTGGGACATAGAAAATGAAGACAGTGAGAATGTGGGAGACACAAGTGTTGAGCACCTTAAGGCATCCTTCCCTGGAAGCTATTCCCAGAACCGTCTTCAAGATTAGAGCATAAGACAGAACAATAAAGATGGAGTCAACCCCAAAGGAGCAGAGTACCAAGACCAGCCCATAGATAACGTTCACATGAATAGACCCACATGCCAGCTTCATCACATCAGGGTGGAAGCAGAATGAGTAGGATAGAACAATATTCCTACAGAAGGGAAGCTGTTGGAGCAGAATGGGCAAGGGCATCATCAGTGCTACCCCTTGAGCCACAGCAGCCAGGCCCATCTGAGTAATGCGGGAGGGAGTCAGGGCTGTGGTGTAGCGTAGTGGGTTGCGTATGGCCATAAAATGGTCAAAAGCCATAGCCAGCAGCATATAAAGATGGAGTCAACCCCAAAGGAGCAGAGTACCAAGACCAGCCCACAGATAACGTTCACATGAATAGACCCACATGCCAGCTTCATCACATCAGGGTGGAAGCAGAATGAGTAGGATAGAACAATATTCCTACAGAAGGGAAGCTGTTGGAGCAGAATGGGCAAGGGCATCATCAGTGCTACCCCTTGAGCCACAGCAGCCAGGCCCATCTGA